GGAGCTGATGAAGGAGTGAAAGGACTAATATTTCCCATGATAATCTGTTATTCTTTGGTTAAGGTGTTTTGACAAATAATTTGATTGGAAGTTTGGAAACCATTTTTCGTTTTATTGCCTTTTTTCGTTCTTAGTGAAGGTTGATTCTTCCTTTTGAATAAATATCATTGGTAATGAATATTCTTTGAGCGTGTTTCAACTTTTGTTCGCTCATTACCTTTTCATCCACCTTGTTTTGTTATAATTTCAACATCATAATTAATTTACAGTCATGGACGGGTCTTCACTATTTCCATCCATGATTTCATATTGTCTCATTATGTTGATTAGAAATCTGATCAATATGTGATTATTGTTGTTATCCAATATTGTTTCTTTCTCATACTGAAAAATCTGATCTCATCTGAATGTGGAACACGAGAAGAAGTGGATCCGATTCTATGCACTCCCAATTGTGATAAGGGAGTTGGTTGTTCAGCAGCAGTTGTCGGCCAACCTGCAGATTTCGATAAAGCGTCAACAAACGGATACAGGCCATATAACTTTGTGGTTGCCTAATAAAAGTGTCCGGATTAGCATGTTGACTTGTTGTATTGTCTGTTGGAGCATCATATTTTTTTGGCGCTCGATCTGGGAAGATTGTGCTCGTTGATGATCAAGATAACTTTGAGGTGGTGAAACATTGAAGGAAGCAGCATTATTTTTAAATAGAGGTGGTGAATTAGGAGACGAAACGACAAATTTTCGTTGTTAGATATGAACCGTTTGTTTGTCCCCATGCATTATTTGTTGAGTTCAGATCCGCCTCCACTAGATGCACCAAACTGATATCTATCAAATGGTATATTTTGCATCGAAGTCGTTCCACCAAAAGGATAAACGCTGTTGATTACTATCCAAAAACAACTGTGTTGTACTGGTCTAAGTTAGAAGCAACCTTGGATCAATAATAACATTCATTCATTTCCTACTACTAAATGTCCGTAACGATTTTATTAAAAATGAACATTACTGTGTAAACCATCAAACAACAGCTAAAAATGATTTAAAAATTTTACACACCTTGAGTACTACGAGTACAACCATTTTATATTGCTCGGGCGCCCACTTCTTGGTCCAGCATTTATTTCTGTGCCAGAAAAACGACTTGCAACCCCTTCACCAAAATCATTATCAGTGCCAATATTTGAATGTGCGGAAGAAGATTTACTAGTTTTACTTGTTGGGGACAATGGTGTCCTAAATTTGAATAAGTGTACGCTTTCATCTTCTTGGTCTAGGTCAAAACGATAGTGGTTGATGTTGCTGTTTTACGATGCTGACGTTGATGCTGATGCTGATGCTGTTACAGTAATTCTTGTTAATATTGTAATACTTTTGTTGTTGCTGCTGCAATAAAAACTGTAAT